TAGCCGACCCATTCGTGCTACAACTATACTACGAGTACTAATATAGCTGCAGTATGGCTCTACCACTTATAAAATATTATACGTCATATAGGGTTTAGTAGTATAGTTGTAGCACGAATGGGTCGGTTCGACCGGGGAAGGACCACGCTCTCACAGAATACCAGCGTAAAATAGCAGCGTAACGCTGCTGTGTTTTGTATGGTGAGTGTAGAGAACCGGATAACTTTTTTACTGGAAAAGAGACATTCCATCTTAGTTCTCACGGGTGACTACGCATCTGCATTTTGATTCGCAAACGAGAATAGATGTAGATGTCTATGGGCCACATCAACCACTTATCATCAGGTGGACTGTGTGCTCGTTTGTCACCCTATGTTATAAAAAAAAATCTATAACGGCACTTTGTATTAATGTCTTAGTTTTAATACTTATCACAATTTAAAAATATACCTGCAAACATGCATTTTTAAAAAGAGTTCAATATGCTGAGGAAAAGGGTTGTAGGACAAGGAACATTTTACGTTTACGTGTGTCCAAACAATTCCTCAGAGCGTTCCCCGTGGTAAATGCGATAAAATACGCAAAGAGAGATGGGAACAGTATTCCATGTGAGGACGAACCTGCGCCTTGTAAAGTTGCAGGCGGTGTGCCGGCATGAAATACTGTCCCGCTCTGCTGAGCACGCCAAGCTTTTTAAAGGCCAATTGCCAATGCTTTGTGGCATTCCTTCTGAGAAGCCTATGTTCAACTGAATTTGTGCTGGAATGTAATGATTACGATGATGATGAAAATCAGGCGGCCATATTTTTTTTGGATTCAGTTAATCTACATATATGGCCCTCACGATGTAGGTCTGCGTACCTACTTAGTGTGGAAACCATAAACACGTTATGATGGGAACCGTAAAATAACTCATTTTCGTTTTTACATTGAAAGCACGAAATCGTAAACATGATTATACATCGTCTAATAATCTTAAAATCTTTGGCTGTGAATTAAAAGTAAAAAAAAAAACTGTAATAATAATGTTATTATGTAAGCAAGGTCGAAGCACAGCTTCCCACGAACAATCGAATTTAGAAACAAAGATAACATCTCCTACACATTGCAGATCTAACGCGAGCTTACACAATTACCTCGATAATTGATGCATTTACAGAAATGTGCGTTGGCTTTTCCCACTACTTTGTAGAGGACCACGCTCCCACAAAAACCAACGTAAAATGGCAGCTTAATGCTACTGTTTCGTATGGTGAGTAAAGAGAACCGGAGACCCTTTTTGCTGGTTACAAGGCATTCCATATTAGTCCTCAGGGGTGACATCATTTAGAATCTTAATTGAGGGTAAATGTCTTTGGGCTACATTACTCACTTACCAGCAGGTGGATTGTGTGCTTGTTTGTCTCCCACACTTACTTAAAAAAAACTTTTATTACAATAAAGAAACCCAGCCATCCATTACATCCTATAAAAGTCCACTGCTGAACCATAGACCTTTCCCATAGAGTTCCTCAATGTTGCCTCACGATTGGCAAGCGGCTGTTGCCTCATACACCTACGGGACGATAATGGATATACCTACACCGCCACTATACAATCACTTTAATTCGGTGATGGTACTACTCTAATTGTGATATAACAGAATTGGGTGAGTATTTATTTTTAATCATCACGAAATTCGTCAAATTTATCCAATTAAATATTATTTCACTAATCAACTAGAAGCTAAGATACAAGGAATAAATTTGTACATATTTAATTATTTGTAACTTGCTGGTCCCCGCGATTTCGCCCGCGTGTAATTTAGGGTTTTAATTATATTACTCAGAACCCTAATTCTTTTTCTCAAATATAAGTAGCCTAAGTTACTCATTAGAACATTAGCTATCTGCCAGTGAAAGTCCCGTCGAAATCGGTCCAGCCGTTTCCAAGATTAGCCGGAACAAACAGACAGACAGACAGACAAAAATGTAATAATTGTGTTTTTGTTTTAAGTACCGTATATATACATTCATATGCATTTAGTAAAAAGCTGTTATTTTAACATATTACAATACACTTCAATTTTGTTTATTAATTTGTATAGATAAAAAGTTTATATAAGAGTACAATGACAGTAGTTTGTAACTAGTTTTAAGTTTAAACTTTAGTCTATTTTTATTAATGTAGTACGGCGAAAAATATGCGAACTAAAGTTTTTTTTTTTATAGGCTCGGGTGACAAACGAGCACGGAGTCCACCTGATGGTAATTGGTTACTGTGACCCATAGACATCTACATCTATCCTCAATAAAGACTCAAGATGCAGATGCGTTGTCACCCGTGAGGACTAAGATGGAATGCCTCTTTGCCAGTAAAAAGGGTCTCCGGTTCTCTACACTCACCATACGAAACACAGCAGCGTTAAGCTGCTATTTTACGCTGGTTTTCTGTGAGAGCGTGGTCCTTCCCCGGTCGAGCCGACCCATTCGTGCTACAACCATAATATAGCTGCAGCATGGCTCTACCACGTAGAAAAGAAGTGTATGGAATTTGACAGATTAACGTTGAGTTTCGCGAAGACTGGCGTCGCGGCTAAGGCACTTCCTTCGTGATAAAGACTCTCTTTATTCCTTAAAGACTTACTTAGGCTCCGTGGCAGAGTTGCTTAGCAATGAGTTGCAGTGCCGGGTTCTAATCCCGGGGCAAGTATTTGTATTGCCTACAAATAGTTGTTCCGGGTCTGGATGTTTGTTCATGTGAAATTTATGTATTTAAACCACCCCAGCAGCCAAAGGAGAACATCCTATTGTGGAGGTAACGCTTAAAAAAAGAGAAAGAGAACCTTAAAATGGTTTAAGTTAGTCGTGTTATATAATAAAGTTAAGGTTGTAACATTTTTAAATTCAATTAATGCCTTCAATATCATTATAGTAGACACGTTACGAACTAGTGTTACTGTACTCTAAATTGAACGTTATATTTAACCTAGTCAGTGACATGACTTCTAGTTAACTGGTATGACAGGAATGCTACTAAAATTTCGCTTAATCTATCACTGACACCGTCTGCATACTGCATCTCTTTTTGTTATACGACTCTCGAAAGAGACGCGTGACGATCTGATTTCGTGTGATGTATGGCTGCGAACATTCAATCTTGTAATATCAATTCATCTAAATTGATAACTGGAACGGAGTAGTGTTGTGCATGTGTAAATTTTAATATATCGATTTATGAACAGCGTGAGTTTTTAATTCCTTTATGCCAACATGTAACTAATTATCTTAAAAGTTTTAAACTTAAATTACTTTTAAAATAAAGATTGGCGGAGCATTCAGAACAGGCTTTTGCTCTGCTAAGTCAGTGTGTTTACCGTCTTCAGCCGCATTACCACTTACCATCGGGCGAGATGGTAGTTACTGACTTATAAATCACAAATTGGATATTCTTTAATAAAAAAATAGCCTTTTTTATTGTCCGGACGTCGTCTGGGAAATATAGATGTAATGCTATTAAATATTCACGATGAGTGTACCTTGTATCAGCCATATTTTTTTTTAAGAATAAGCACACTGCGGAAATGAACGGTACGTTCCGGGCTTGCTTATGTATCTAGATTACTATAAAAAATGAATTTATTTCAGACGTTTTGTCCATAAGAGGAATTAGTACAAAATATGAACTTACAAATAATGTTAGTAAAACAATAAAAACTACATTATGACATTAATCTAAATATTTTCCGGGTCAGTTTGTGACACCTGTTATACACGTATGTGTGTACACCCAGTGCCTCATGACTGGACGGTCTGGCTTATCACTAATGACCTTCAGAATAGTGTTGGAACTCCCAAAAATGCAATTTTCAAAATAATTGAAAGAGGCTTGTAATTTATTTATTTATGATATGGACAACAAAAGAGATAATAATCAAAATACATTAAAAATATATATATTACAGTTTTGCGCCAGATTGTTATCCTAAATATGTTGACATATAATTTTTATATTTACTCTACGCTTTGCAGTATTTATGACATACATAACTACACAATACAACTAATTAAATTCAACAAACAACAAATTTCAAATAAGTAATACTTTTTATGTTATGCCTATGCAATCACCAAACTGAGGAATGAATGTTAGTTTTGATAAACCTCTTAAGCAGCTATAAAAACTGTTTTCGCCAGTTAGATAGTTAACCATATCTTATTCATAAGTAGCCTACTTATGAATAAGGCATGGTCAGTGAAGCTTTAAGACCCAGCAAACAAGTACCCTTGGACACTTACCAAGTTCTTTTTATTTCTATTTATTTATTTAATCTGTCTATTATGATACACCTTAATCTAAAATATGGTAAATAAAAAATGACTTAATAAGTATTATGTAATAATCAATATTGAATAAAAATATATTCTATTCCATTCTATTCTATTCTAAAGGTTACAATGGGCGTACTTAATGCCTTATGACATTCTCTACAAGTGAACCCTGGGCGAATGAGATAAGTAAAAGTTTTAGTAATTTTGCACCTTGTTAAAGCTTTGAATGTCTTATACTCTGTTTTTAACCCGCCGACGTAAACAGATGTGTGTAATAAGTTTGTAGTGTGTATCTACTGAACGGATGAACCGATTTAAAATTTTATCATTTGAAAGGTGTCATAATCGAGAGTGTTCTTAGTTATGTTTCAAGAAAATCTGTTCAGTCGCTTGAAGATAATCAGCTCTTTTTGTTTCGGGGTTTTTTAATTTAAGTAATAGGTATTCTTCGGTCCTTTATTTATACTTAACCTTGCTAAAATTCTTAAAAATCATTATCGATACTTATTGTAATTTGTACATCCCTATTGGCTAGCTAGTGACACGACTGACCCGCTCCCGTTTTCTTGCAGTATAGTTTTTGCTCGTTAATATTTTAACTGTTCGTGAACTAAAACACGCAGCAAGGTTGCCTTTGACCGTAGACACTTTTTGTGGAAAATAATTAATTGGTTTTCGTTTTATTTACAGGTACGCCGATACGGAGATTATATTAAATGGTTAGTAAATGTTTCTTATTTTTCTTATACTCAAGTCTCGAAGTCAAGTAAAGACGTTTTTTTTTATAGGATAGGGTGACAAACGAGCACACAGTCCACCTGATGGTAAGTGGTTGCTGTGGCCCATAGACATCTACGTTTATCCTCGTTTGCGAATCAAAACGCAGATACGTTGTCACCCGTGAGGACTAAAATGGAATGCCTCTTTTCCAGTTAAAAGGGTCTCTTCCCCGGTCGAGCCGACCCATTCGTGCTACAACTGTAGTACTAATATAGCTGCAGCATGGCGCAATTTTTTCCTTATCATACAATTTCTCACCCTGTAATTTATCGATTAAACCCTTGATACTCCTTAATGACCGATTCTCCAGCATTTATTTTACTCTCGTGCTTCTTCTGCCACATCGAACTCTCACTACCATACATTAAGGCAGGGACTAGCATAGCATTGTGAATTACCATACATGCCTTTTTTGACATATTCTGACTTCCCACAACGCAAATACAAAATATCATTTTTACTGGAAACGGGGCATTCCTTCTTAGTCCTCAGGGGTGACAACGCATCTGGATTTTGATACTTAATCGAGAATAGATGTCTATAGGCCACAGCATCCACACAAAGTTACTCTAAACTTAACATTACATGCCACATGTCTTTTTTGCCATATTTAGATTATTCCGGTACGTTGCTCTATTGGGCATATATTCATGTATATGAGCATTGGGCTACTAAAACAATAAAACAAGTCGAAACTAATAAAAAAATTCTAAGGTTAAAGTATTGTTCTTATAATATATCTTTTATCACTCAAACTCTCTTTCCGCATCTAAACAGAGTTTCGGAATATGTCTGAACGAAACATCAAAACATTCTTTCCAGTCCGCCTCAGATACCTCTAGTAAAACTGTATCCTCTGTATATTCATATTTTAATTTTTAATATAAGTCCTTAAAGTCACACTAAGTCCTCAATCAGGGCTATAAGGAGGGTGAACCAAAAGTTTCCATGAACCAAAGATCCAGAAAGTTCCACGTATGCAGTATTAGTGCACGGGCTCGTTTTCATGGTGAAGCAAATGGCACACGGAACCCCGTGGTCTGTCGGAATTTGTCTATTCTATTTAATACTTGCGTTGCATTATAAAACTTGCGATATAAGAAGTTAAACACAAGTGGATCATACAATTTATAATGCCTTAAATTGTATGATCCACTGCAGTAAACAAAATCAGAAAATATATGATATTTTTCAGGATATAATGCTAGTTAGATACGTGTGTTGAAAACATAATATTAAGTCCTTACATATGAAATTGGCGTTTTGTACGGGAGAAATATAAAGTCATTTTTTTTTTCAAATTAATCAAAGTGTGCACCGTTGTTATCTATGCACTTTTGCCATCTCATAGGTAGTTCATTGATATCTTTACTAAAAAAAACCATGGGGACGAGAATCAATAAACTCTTTGAAGGCGGTTTGGACTGCCGCATCGGAGTTGAATTTTTTTCCTTGTAAGAAGTTGCCCAAATTCCGGAAAAAATAGTAATCTGTTGGAGCAAGGTCCGGGGAGTACTATGGATGTCGCAGACCTTACAATTGTAGCTCATCTAACTTAGTGTTTGTTTGTTGTGCAGTGTGTGGTCTTGCGTTGTCGTGAAGCAGCAGTGGCCTAGAGCGATTGACCAATCTCGGTTGTTTAGCAGCTAGTTCTTCCTTCATGGTATGCAGTTGCTGACAATAGATATCTGCCGTAATCGTTTGGCCAGATTTTAAAAAACTGTAGTGAACGACACCGGTGCTAGTCCACCAAACACTCACAAGTAACTTTTTCAATTTTCGTTTAGGGCAGGATTCGATTTAAAATCCCTTCATTATTGTGTCAGTTGAGCAAAGTAACACAGCAGTCGACGCGTGTTTGTAAGTTCGATTCACTCAATTCATGAGGTACCCATCGTTCAAGTTTTTTTACTTTTCCGACTTGCTTCAAGTGGATTAATACAGTTTTATCACTTACCCCGAAGCCTGCAGCTATCTCTGAAGTGCTTTATGATGGATCCGCTTTCTTAATTAATTCCTTTAATTCTTCATTTTCCACTCGCTGTCCATGGGGTTGGTTCTGAAGGTCGAAATTTCCAGAAAGAAAACGTTGAAACCAACAACGTACCGTGCACTCTTTTGTGAAACCAGCGCCGTACACATCATTATCCTTTGAGCTGTTTCTGCAGCACTGGTGCCACGGTAGAACTCGTACTCGTAAATATACCGATATTTCATGTTTTCCATTGTGCGGTAATAAGCGACGCCAAAGAAAAAAATAATGAGGAAAAAACAAATGAATGTCTGTTTTCTAAACTCAAATGTACCAGTTAAATGAATTTATAAATTTGAATTTCGAATTCTTAACCAAAGAGGAGATATTTCAGATCAAAGTGGTCAGTTAATTTCATAATATGTAAGGACCTAATACTAATAATTTGATACGATAGGAAAGTACCACAAAGTTACCTCTAAAAGTTTCTTACCTAATGGTTTGCTTCGTCTTTCGTAATGCGTACAGCAAAGGAGTGGAATAATTTGCCGGCGTCTGTCTTTCCGTGCGAATAAAATTTAGGCGTCTTTAAGGCAAGAGTGAATATGCTATTGTTAAGCTAAGGCACTGGGATTTACCATCTAGGGCTACATCACAACTTGCCACCAGGTGAGATTGTGGTCAAGCAGTGTCTTACGTTAAAAAAAAAACTCGTTTAATGAAGCGGCATAAAGCTCGTCACACATGCGTATAAACCACATTCTCTGGCCGATATGTCGCATCCTAGATTACCGTTCTACACCGCTAGTCCGAGTCATAAACGCTCGCGGGGCCGTGAGACTTGTTTTCATCTGCATTACCATATACTGACTTATTACTAACTTATTACGGAGTAGCTATCGCAGGCACACTTATATTACGCGTAGAAAACATTAGTAACGCGAATTTTGATCGCTTGATTCGCAATATCATACGTACACGTATTATAGAAATATAAACTGTAAAGACGTTTAACTTCGAATGTTTATAATTTATTAGCTTCAACTGAAAACAGTCCTCAACAGATGGTGGAGCCATAATTATTTATCTTATAAGCTGGGCTCCTTTGGAAACGGGCCAACGAAAGGGCTTAAATTTTGGCTTAGCACTGAGTTGCGGCGCTGAGGACCGCAGGTTCAAATCTCGCACGGATAAAGTATATATCTAGCTTCCAAACAACAGTTCCGGCATGTTAGTCTTCGTGCAATATATTTATATAAACTGCTGACAAAATCCTTGTGTCAACAAACGTTGAATTATATAAGAATGTCTTTGTCTTTTTTCATGGTAGAGAATAACAGCGTAAAATAACAATTCAATGCGTACAATAACAGTTTGTTTCGTATGGTAAGTGTAGAGAACCTGTTTTACTGAAAACGAGCCATTCCATCTCAGTCTTATTCCTGGACTTGTTCGTGGATAGATGTCCATGGGAAACAGCATTTACTTTTTTTTTAATAGAATTAGGGTGACAAACGAGCACACAGTCCACCTGATGTGGTTGCTGCGGCCCATAGACATCTACATCTATCCTCTATTACAAATCAAAATGTAAATGCGTTGTCACCCGTGAGGACTAAGATGGAATGCCTCATTTCCACTAAAAAGGGCCTCCGGCCACCTGCAATCACCAAGCGGAACGCAGAGGTAAACCTCTACTTCACGCTGGTATTCTGTGAGGTCGTGGTACCACCCCGGTTCGAGCCGGCCCATCCGTGCGACAGCAAAAGCTGCCGCGTGGCTCTACCACATATAAATACCACTTACCATCAGGCGGACTATATACTCGTTTGTTACCCTTAATCTATAAAGAAAAAAAAAACCGAAAAAAGCGTTTCTTTATAAAATACATTGGAGACATAACCTGTCATCGTTTCACTATTGTTAACTTAAATTAAACACATTGAAACTGCCTTCTCTGCTGATCTATTGGCTTCTAGGACTACATAGTGGTTAAGAGATTGTATTTGAAAATAATAGCTATAGAAGTGATGATTTCTTAAGTTTATGCGAATCCTAAGTTTACGAAATAAAACTGTAAAACGCCCGAACGTATGGAATTGAAAAAATTAAGATTAAACGCGATAAAATCCGTAAAATAGATATATTCCAAAGTCTAGCAGTTTGATCTCAAATTAACAATCGGTTCAACATCTCATCTAGAGTACTTTTGCCCCGGTATATTATATGCAGAATATTTATCGATAATAAGATTTCACCCCCTATAAGTGTGACCACACCCCATGGCATAGTGCGTTGGAGGCGACCCAAATACTCCGCCGTAACCGTAACGGCGCGTAGCAACTGCGGGCGACCTTTGCAGCGAACGTCTTACACGTTGGCTCTGGATTGACAAGGGTTCAATATTTGCCGTTATAACATATCAAAAGTCCACTGCTAAACATACGCCTCTCCAATAGATTGCCTCATAAAGATGTTTGCAACAGTTGCCTCGGTTGGCAGGTGAGTAGGCAACGGTAGTTTGTCATTATTTTTAGTGGTATCAGGCAGTAGCTGCTGCCCATCTCCTGATTCATTTTCCTCTGTCGTCTCTTACGACACCCAGGATATGGGATAGTGGATATGTTTACACCGCTCCTACACTGTCAAGGTTTCGATATAAATGGAAGTAATGCTGAAGCCTTGTACTGGCGGCGAAAGAATATCCACTACCTGATTTCTTCTATTTACGCCAGCTTACTTTATATTCGAGCACTTTACAGCACCCATGGTCACGGGGGGGACTGAGGTGTTCGGACGCCCCAATGTCATAATTAACCATGCTGCACGGCTACCTCCAGATAAAAATTATAAATTTTTGTTCAGATTTACGCAGTATGAACTTATAGTATCGTGAAGTCTTGCAGTTGTATACTTGTGTTGGGATTAAATTTTATTAATTATAGGATCCCAAGCGGATGGCAGCAC